TTGATATGTATATGCCCATGAAACCATTACTCCAGTCAAGATAATGAACGTTTGCATCACCCCGAAAGTTTCCTCCTCCTCCTTTTTGATCCGTGCCTCCCCCAGGCACACACTGATTTGCTTTCTGTCATAATAAATTAGTTCTAGAATTCTGCATACATGGAATCATACTGTATAACTTTTTTTTGGTCAAAATTCTTTTTTGTCAGTTGTTTAAAGTGCAAGAATTATTATTTTTGTTGTTGTATGTCTGGCATCTTTTTAAAAGAAACAAATTTTTTTTGAACACTATCTTCCCTGAAGCTCATGAGATTAAAAAGCCAGTATGAGGAATTCAGAGCTAGTAAATTTCTTCCTTTCGTTGTGTAAATGAATACGGTTCTGATAATAGCAAAGACTCCCCATGCAAATGCCGTTTTGGATCTGAAAGTGACTTGGACATTAGAGTGCACCTGCTAATGTTGAAAACTTGATGGGAGTTTTTGTTATTGGATCTTAGCCTATTCAGTGTGATTTAGCTACTTGACTAGATGAAAATAAAATTCTGCACAAAAGCACAGTTGGGAATTTTTTTCTTGAATGTGGCAGTTTAATGTTCTGATGGCATGATTCCTGAGACTCTGAATTATTACTCATTATTTTGTTACTTTCACTTATTTGTTCTTTTGCCCACCATCTTTTAAGAAAGACTTTCTCCTTAATAGAGAAGTGTGATTATTTAAGCTTTATACCTGGAAAGCCTAAAATTGCCTTAATGAGTACTAGATTAGCAGGACACACTGCCTTAAAACTGTGGAAGCCTTTAATATCCTATGAACAGTTGAGCTATTCTCATCAGCAGATGATCGTGGTTAAGCACAGTAGTTAAGAGCCTACAGGGTTGTGGAATTAGGTGCCCTAATTCAAATCTTGACCCTACCACTTAATGGCTATGTGACTTTAGATGTCACTTAACACCTATAAGCCTTGTTTGTGTCATCTCTAAAATGGAGATAATGGCAGTACCTATGTTATGGGAGGCTTTTAAATATTAAATTAGATCTTACAAAATTTTAACACAATGCCTGACATGGTAAATATTCAGTGTTAGCTTTTGTTATTATTTAAGGGATTCTGGATAATGAATGGCTCTCTTATTTTAAACAATATTCAGATTACTTAAAAGAAAAAGCTTTGCATCTCTCTTTGATCTTGAAATAGAATTCATTCAAACAGTAATATGTAGGTTATTACTTGTCACCTACCTCACAGTTCAGATTAATCGTGAAAAGGAGGGGTGCCTGGCTGGCCCAGGCAGTAGAACACGTGACTCTTGATCTCGGGCCTGTGAGTTTAAGCCCCATGTTGGGCATAGAGCTTACTTTAAAAAAAAATCATAAAAAAGAAATTTTTACTTCTTAAACTAGGTTATTCCTGGAGAGGAATTTCCTAACACTACTAGTAGAATATTGCAACTTCCGAACTTGGTGTACTATTGCTCTTTCTGAGATGGAACCTTGAAGATTCAGGCTCTGTGTATTTTCTGTTCTGCTTGCTGTTACCTTGGGGCTGTCTTTACTAATGATAAGGTGAGACTGCCAGTGTATTCATATTTCTGAAGAGTAACCTGTTTGAGTTCGACTAAAGTATATGGATTCTTTAAAATCCTATTTTTGACCATGTGAATTACTTGCGTAGAATGTTCAGTGAAGAAACACTTTTTAAAAAATTTTTTTTGAGAGAGAGAAAGCACGCATGCGAGTTGGGGGTTGGCAAAAGGTGAGGGGGAGGAACAAGCAGATACCCCACTGAGTGTGGAGCCAACTTGGGGGCTCAGTTTCACCACCCTGATAACATGACCCAAGCAAAAATCAAGAGCCGAAATCAAGAGTCTGACACTTAACTGAACTATCCATGTGCCCCAGTGAAGAAACACTTTTAAGAATTCTATGTAACAGTGGATTTTTGGAAAATATTATTTAGTGTGCTGATACCTGTTACTTGACCTAAGCCAGTTCTTTGGTACTATATTAGGAAGCCATGGAGATCTCGTTGACTTATTTTTGAGAGAAGTGTGGAAAGTAGATAGTTGTGTATGTGTTTTAAAATTGGTTTTAATTATACTTATAGAATATGAACATATTTTCTTTTTAAAAAATTCAAGTTTTATTGTAGTATGAGTATAAAGTGAACCTAAAGCCTCCATAAACATTTTGCCCCCAACCTCCTCTTACAATACAAGTTCCCTTCCTTCATATTGTTGCTCTTTCAAGTTTGGCATTTCCCTATAGGAATTCTTTATACATGTTGTATAGATCTTTATACATATGTATACATATACATTTTTCACCTAGTTTTTGGTTTCTCTTTTAATTATGCTTATAGTATTTTTTGGTATAATACTTCGCCATTTTGACATAATTAAATATATTATTTGTTTTTCTTTATGGTTTTTGCTTTTTGTTTCTTACTTAAGAAGCCCTACCTTAACTCAGGTTCACAAGGGTGTTCTAAGTTTTCTTCTAGTACTTTTGGTAGTTTTAAAATTTGTGTCTTTGGGGCATCTGGGTGGCTCAGTGAGTTAAGCATCCAACTCTTTTTTTTATTATTATGTTAATCACCATACATTACATCATTAGTTTTTGTTGTAGTGTTCCATGATTCATTGTTTGTACATAACACCCAGTGCTCCATGCAGAACGTGCCCTCCTTAATACCCACCACCAGGCCAACCCATCCCCCAATCCCCCTCCCCTCTAGGACCCTCAGTTTGTTTTTCAGAGTCCATCGTCATTCTTCCCCCCTTCATTCTTGCCCCTCCTGCTATCTTCTTCTTTTTTTTTTTTTAACATATAATGTATTATTTGTTTCAGAAGTACAGGTCTGTGATTCAACAGTCTTACACAATTCACAGCGCTCACCATAGCACATACCCTCCCCAATGTCTATCACCCAGCCACCCCATCCCCCCACCCCCCACCACTCCAGCAACCCTCAGTTTGTTTCCTGAGATTAAGAATTCCTCATATCAGTGAGGTCATATGATACATGTCTTTCTCTGATTGACTTATTTCGCTCAGCATAACACCCTCCAGTTCCATCCACGTCGTTGCAAATGGCAAGATCTCATTCCTTTTGATGGCTGCATAATATTCCATTGTATATATATACCACATCCTCTTTATCCATTCATCTGTCGATGGACATCTTGGCTCTTTCCACAGTTTGGCTATCGTGGACATTGCTCCTATAAACATCAGGGTGCATGTACCCCTTTGGATCCCTACATTTGTATCTTTGGAGAAAATACCCAGTAGTGCAATTGCTGAGTCGTATGGTAGCTCCATTTTCAACTTTTTGAGGAACCTCCATACTGTTTTCCAGAGTGGCTGCACCAGCTTGCATTCCCACCAACAGTGTAGGAGGGTTCCCCTTTCTCTGCATCCCCGCCAACATCTGTCGTTTCCTGACTTGTTAATTTTAGCCATTCTAAGCATCCAACTCTTGATTTTGACTCAGGTCATGATCTCAGGGTGGTGAGATTGAGCTCTGCGTCGGGCTTCATGTTGGGAATGGAGCCTGCTTGGGATTCTTTCTCTCCTTCTCCCTCTGTGCTGCCTCCCCCTCCTGTTCATGGTGCATATGCACATACACTCTCTCAAAAACATAAAATAAAATTTATACCTTTAATGTACATCAGATTTATTTCTGTGTACTGTGTGAAGTAGGGATGTAATTTATTTTTCCAAGAGCACCAGTTGTTCAAACCCCATTTATTGAATGATTTGTCTTTTCCTTACTCTTTTGAAATGTTACTTTTAGCATATACTGAACTTACATATACAGGTAAGACTGTTCCTGAACCTGTGCCATACAATTTTAAATACTGTAGCTTTTTTTAAAAAAGATTTTATTTATTTATTTGACAGAAAGAGAGATAGTGAGAGCAGGAACACAAGCAGGGGGAGTGGGAGAGGGAGAAGCAGGCTTCCTGCCGAGCAGGGAGCCGGATGTGGGACTCGATCCCAGGACCCTGGGATCATGATCTGAGCCGAAGGCAGATGCTTAACGACTGAGCTACCCAGGCGCCCTAAATTCTGTAGCTTTAAAAGGCTATGGGTCCTTATGCGAAATCCTGGGGGTCAGATGTGGTTTGGAGTCCAGATTTTTCCTCCTGATACCCAGTGGACATTATGCAGTATCCTGTAATCATATACATTGTTTTCTCAACGACTGTATGAATAATACCTATAAACAGTAAGTGACCTCATACCAGATCAAGTCAGGTTTTGCTGCTAAATAAGAAGAAACAAAACTTACTTTTAGAGGTTTTACGATTTTTGCATTGCAAGTGAAGGATCATGGACCTGTAATTTATCTTTCTATTTAAGGAACAGCTTCCTTCTTTGTTCTTCTGTTGCAAATCGTTTAGGTTATCTTATACCTTTACTCTTCTGTTTGAATTTTAGAGTCAGCTTGTTGAGTTATTTGGAGAATCCTGTAGAGATTTTCATTAGGATACGAAGTATTTCATGCTTGTACCTTTTTGTTAGATTTATACCAAAGTGTTTTTATGGTTTGGTTGCTATTGTGAGTGGGATTTAAAAAAAATTGCATTTTCTAATTGTTATTACTAATGTACAAGAAAGTACTGATATTTATATATTGATCTTGTATCTGACTGATTTGTAGAGTTCTGTTAACTTGTTAGTTGATGATCTTGGGTTTTCTAGTTAGAAAATCATATGTTCAAACTTGAGTTTTATCTTTTCATTGCTAGTATTTATGTCTCTTATTTCTTTTTCTTTTCCATTTGCATGGCATGGTTTCAGTCTTCAGTTTTGAGACATGCAAAATACCGTTAAAATGATGTTTACAGTAAAATGTGCTGTAGACAAAATTTGAATGTGTGATAAAAAGATGATAGAAAGGGAGATCTTTCTTATGTGGGGGTAATGAAAAGTGTCTGAGAGGCAGATATTTATTATTGGGGGATTTAATGTGTGATCTTTTCATTACAGATATGGTATAAGGTATTTCTTCAAGACTGGACAGCCGAAGACCTGTTACTTCTGATTAGCCTTAAGCAGACTTACAGCCATCGAGAAACCTCACGGAATTTCATATTTTGCTTTCTGCTTTACACCTTTCTTGGCACCCACATTCATCTTGCAACCATGTATGGAAGTGCTCGCTCAGTTGGGAAGGTGGAACCGAGCAACCAGAGCCCTGGGCGTTCACCTAGGCTTCCACGTTCCCCTCGCTTGGGTCATCGTCGAACCAACAGTACGGGAGGGAGTTCTGGAAGCAGTGTTGGAGGTGGCAGTGGGAAAACCCTTTCAATGGAGAATATCCAATCCTTAAATGCTGCCTATGCCACATCTGGCCCTATGTACCTAAGTGACCATGAAAATGTGGGTTCAGAAACACCTAAAAGCACTATGACGCTTGGCCGTTCTGGGGGACGTCTGCCATATGGTGTCAGGATGACTGCTATGGGCAGTAGCCCCAATATAGCTAGCAGTGGGGTTGCTAGTGACACCATAGCATTCGGAGAGCATCACCTCCCTCCTGTGAGTATGGCATCCACTGTTCCTCACTCTCTTCGTCAGGCAAGAGATAATACAATCATGGATCTGCAGACACAGCTGAAAGAAGTATTAAGAGAAAATGATCTCTTGCGGAAGGATGTGGAAGTAAAGGAGAGCAAATTAAGTTCTTCCATGAATAGCATTAAGACTTTTTGGAGCCCAGAGCTGAAGAAAGAACGAGCTCTGAGAAAAGATGAAGCCTCCAAAATCACTATTTGGAAGGAACAGTATAGAGTTGTGCAGGAGGAAAACCAGGTTAGTTTTATATGTATGTTTACCTTTATTGACTGAATTCATGTGTGTAAGTGAAATGAGCTATTCTCTTTCTTTTCTTTCTTAGGTTTTCCTCTTCTTGGTTCATTTATCTTTCTTTTTCCTATTTATCTGAGTATTTTTCTATCCTCCATTTCTTAACCTTTTCCGGATTTGGTCCTATACCTTTGTTTTTTTCTGGTTGCCAGGTCTGCTTGCTCACTATTCTTGCTTGCTTTTCCCACTTGCATTTCCCTGCTTCTCTTTCTCTTCCTGTCTTTTCTTTAAGCCTGTATTACCTTTCTCCAGTTCTTGCAAGAGTATAATTTTGTCATCTGCTCTAAGATGCATTATCAAAATTATTCAGGTTACGTATGTAAATGTGAGGTGTAGCAGTAAGATTTACCATAGTGCTCGCTTCGGCAGCTCATAAACTAACATCGAAATAATACAGAAGATTATCATGGCCCCTGCACAAGGATGACACGCAAATTTGTGAAGAGTTCCATATTTTTGCTGGTTGAACTTGGCATTCAAGCATCGTGCACCTAGCACAATTTATGGCTCACATTATTATCTGGCAGACTGGTGTGCTGACACTCATTTCACCTGACCCAGATTCTAGTCCTGTGCACTGCCACCTGTGTGATGTTAAGTTAGTCATCACCAGGCCTACCTGTAAAATGAGGGCTCAGACAAAATGAACTCAGGTTGTCAGATTGTATTGTCTGTTTGTTTGTATGCAAAGTGTCTGAATATCCATGGCCCTCAGAGTTTTAGGGAGGGGGCAGGGAAAGGGAGGGAAGAGATGAATGTTAGTGGCTGCTGCACACCTGTGACATCTCACCAGTCTGCCAGGAACGGACTTGAGGAGGCAAGAGGCTGTCCACACAGAGAAAAAGAAAGAAAAAAAATTTACCATAATAGGTGTCAACAAATCAGTCTTGAAAAAACCAGAAAAACTACCGCAAGGCAAATCAGTATGTTGATAGCACAGAATGAAAGTTAGTTTTAAGAAGTTAGTATTGATGATATAAATATTAAGTGCCAACAATGGGAAGCAGTTTTTTCTCTTGGCATTCATGAAAGTTTAACTTCAGGATGTTTATGTAGATTTTTAAAAGTCAAAAAATTTTTTTTCTTTTTTTAGTTCTTCAGGTATAAGGTGGAAGAAAGGCAATTTGGTATGGTTGTTTGCTTCTGGAAAATAAATGAGATAACTAGGCATTAAAATTAGGGCTTTGCAGTTCGAGAGCTAAATGCTATCCTATTAGATATATGAAACTTTTTTTTTTCCCTACTCTTCCAGGTTATAGTTGATGTTTTGGCCACTGTCATGTCACTTTGCTGAGTGACATATGACTCCAAAGATGTGAACAAATCATATTCACGCTTCCAGCAATTAAAATTTTTTTTTTTTAAAGATTTTATTTATTTATTTTAGAGACAGAGCACAAGAGGGGGGAGCAGGAGCAGGAGAAGCAGACTCCCTGCTGAGCAGGGAGCCCGATGCGGGACTCGATCCTGGGACTCCAGGATCATGACCTGAGCCGAAGGCAGTTGCTTAACCAACTGAGCCACCCAGGCGCCCCTAAAATTTTTTTTTTTTAAGATTTTATTTATTTGACAGACAACGAGAGAGGGAACACAAGCAGGGGGAGTGGGAGAGGGAGAAACAGGCTTCCGCTGAGCAGGGAACCCGATGTGGGGCTCAATCCCAGGACCCCGGGATCATGACCTGAGGGACGCTTAATGACTGAGCCACCCAGGCGCCCTCAGCAATTAAAATCTTAATCATACTTTTTTTTTGACTTTTAGAACTTTTCTTAAACGTGTGTTTGAATTATTTGCTTCCTTAATAAATTCTGTCACTCTTAAAGGAGAATTTTAAAGTAGCCATCTTATTGTTGATGTTATACTTTGTTTTGGGGTTAGGTTAATAAAAATTATGAAGAAAATAATAAACTTATTTGGATTTCTTCAGCATTCTTGAATGATGCTAAGAAAGAAGGAATTGGAAGTGATCTATCTTTGATGAAGTAAATCTAAGATTTCTTTTGGTTTGTTTTACCATTCTATTACTAATAGTTCAGGCATTCATATCTACTGTTTTGGTTATTTGAAGAAGATTGCTAGTTATATATATATATTTTAAAGATTTTATTTATTTATTTGACAGAGAGAGAGACAGCGAGAGAGGGAACACAAGCAGGGGGAGTGGGAGAGGGAGAAGCAGGCTTCCCGCGGAGTAGGGAGCCCGATGCGGGGCTCAATCCCAGGACCCTGGGATCATGACCTGAGCCGAAGGCAGACGCTTAACGACTGAGCCACCCGCTAGTTATATTGTTTTGTATGTTAAAGCCCCAGACTTACTTTTTCAGTAATAAAAATAGCTTCTTTTCTCTGATCATAAAAATAATACTGAAAAATATAGATACGAAATCAAAATTTATTCCAAATCCTCCCATCTCTGAAAACTTTGCTATTCCATTGTTAACATTTTGTTGTTTCTCCATAATGAACATCTCTGTGCATACACGCATAAAATTTATACAAATGGGTGTTACATTGTGACCTTTTTTAGCCAACACATCTGCTGTATATTAAAGCCCTTTGTGTCTGAATCATTATTTTAATGCCTATATACTATTGTGTCTGTACTAGTTAATTTAACATCACAGAGTTAAAAATCTTCAAATTTATTTGATAGTACAATATGAATTAAAACTAAACATTGGGGCACCTGTGGGTGGCTCAGTCGGTGAAGCATCCGACTCTTGGTTTTGGCTCAGGTGATCCAAGGGTTGTGAGATCGAGTCCTGCATTAGGCTCCACTCAGTGCAGAGTCTGCTTAAGATTCTTTTTCCCTCTCTCTGCCCGCACTCCTCTCTTTGTCTCTCTCAAATAAATCTTAAAAAAACAACAACAAAACTAAACCTTTAATTCATTTGAATCAGAGATTTGAAAATAATTAGAAATTATGATAATTTTCTTTTCTTAGGTATATTATAACCTCAAACTACTTTGCATTTAGTTTTTAACCAGTGATTAAATGTAATTTGTCATTATACAAAATCTGGATGTTTTATTAGTATACTTAAATTTTAAGTCTCTTAGAGACCCAGCCTTTTTTAAAAAAGAGGAAATGTCCTTTAAAAAGTATTCCTTAGGAAGTTTCTTGAGTTTGAGTCTTCAAGACTTTAAAAACAAAAATGTGAAAAGAAAGAGAAGAATTAAAATAGACCCCAGTGTTAGATCTTAAAAGTAAGGACAAGGTTCCTAAGTGTTGATTCTGATACATTTATTTATTTAAAATATAGATTTCCAGGCCTTTTGCTTCATAAATATCTCTGGAGATGGAGTCCAGGAGCCTATATTTTAAACAAGCTTCTCTGGTGGTTCTGAGATAAACCAATTTGGGGATCTTTAGAATGTAGTACATCTAATTCTTAAACCAGTGTGTTGCTCATTTGCCATAGGGAATTCATGATTATTCTCTTGTCACCTTTGAGCTCAGTTGTGACAGAAGGGAAAATAAACAAGGGACCATTGGCTAAGTGCTTCTCAACCTTTTTTCTGCCTACCACACTTCAGGGTAGTGACATGTGCAGGCTCCTGCACGTAATGATCATTAACTTTGTCAGTGACCCTTAGTAGAAGGAATGTGTGTAGAGAAAAAAGTGTTTAAAATCTTAGATATGTTTATTTAAAAAAAACATCCTGGTGGGGCGCCTGGGTGGCTCAGTCGTTAAGCGTCTGCCTTCGGCTCAGGTCATGATCCCAGGGTCCTGGGATCGAGCCCTGTATCGGGCTCCCTGCTCCGCGGGAAGCCTGCTTCTCCCTCTCCCACTCCCCCTGCTTGTGTTCCCTCTCTCACTGTCTCTCTCTCTGTCAAATAAATAAATAAAATCTTAAAAAAAAAAAAAAATCCTGGTGATTTTGATATCTCCTCACCTTGAGAATCACTGATGTACGAGGTAAAATACTTAAATGACATATGACAGTAGGAGGGGGAAATAGGTTTTCTTCAGTTCACATTTATGTTCTCAGAAGGTGAAGTACAACACCAAAAGTTTATCATTCCTAAATATGAAATAATAGTAGATACATTCTGAAAGTTTTTGCAGTTTGGTGTTTAATTGTAAATATCAAGAGAGAAAAAAGGAGTTTGCTTTATTTAATCTTATGGGAAGGTACCAATGTAGCATAGGTCTTAAAAACTGTATCTGTATTTCAAGGGTAGATATTAGGTTTTTTGTTTGTAAAAATCAGATAGATAAATTTGGAGTAAGTACTGATAGTGTTTCAGTGCTCAAATATGAGGTACTTTGTATGCATTTAGACAGTTAAGCATCATAGTCTATCATACTTGAATATTATTCAGTCTCAAATATATTGTTGATAAAAATCAGTTTACTTACGTTTATCTGAAAAGTAGTTGAGCTGTAACTTCTTGTTATAAATATTGTGTAAAAATTACACATGAATAAACAATTCCCTTTAAAGTTTCTACCTTTCAAGAGTATATTGACAGTATGTGTGTGTATAAATGTAATGTGTATCAATATAAGTATATATATAATTTAAAGTGGATTTTGGTAGAAATTGAATTCAGATTACTAGATTTATCATTGAATTATCTAGCCTCCAGTATACCTTTCTGATGATCCTAAAAATGTGCCTTTCACTGAGATGGTTTTTATCATCAAGCAACTTGGAAATGCCCATTTTAACAAGGAAGATAATTATTGGTATATGTCTTTATTTTCAAATCATGAGGCAGCTAATTATGCCTATTCTTTGAAAACTGTGTGGATAAAAAGCAATGACAATATCCTTTGTAGTTATTAAACTACATTCAAGAGCAAAGTATTTGACTCTTCTGCAAAGAGTGTAGTGGGGACTCAGCACTTCAGTCCAGTGGAAGTGAAAGAGCCCACAGGACTATGATGCCAAAAAAACCATATGCACTGAAGGAGGGTGAACACAGCCTTATCTAGATT